ATATGAAAACTATGTATGTAAGCTGTGTGGTTTTGGCTTGTGGTCCTAGAAGAAAGCGAGTATAGTGCTGAACTCTCAAAGCATAGGGTGAATTTGAAACTGGGCATCTCAATTACTACTTGTGTAGACAAACAACTCATGTATTGCTTGTAAAAAGGAATAGTAGCTCAGTAACCCTTTTCTCTTCTGCTGGGCTTAAAAGAAACAGCAACCCCTATCTGATTTAGAGAAAGGGTGTTTAGACACCAGCCTTCAAAGGAGAGCTTTAAGGCAGTGAATCTCCAGGGGAGTACATAAATTGTGTAAGAGAAACAAGACCTAAGTGCATGAATCCTCTTTGTTTCCCTCTTAGACAGGCCTGGATGATGTCACACACACTGTGTTGAGTTTCCTTGGCCTCACTCTAATTCTTACTGTGCATCTCCAGCATCTCATGTTTCTTTTTTGAGGACCAAAGGAAATTTAGGCATTCCAATGCTTTGATGCCTAAACTCACTTTTGGTATTTAGCCTCACATATTTTCTTTGCTACTTATCTCTAAATACTTTCTATGATGCAAATTGTAAATTATCTGGTTTGGCATTGCTTTTTGAATTAAGCCTCATAATAGGCTGTAGCGCATGTATAAAGCAATATACCACAGGTCCTTTGGAAGCTGTGGTTATTAACGGAACAGTCACTCAGATATATTGAGTTGATTAAACTAAAACAGGCAACATGGACAAATCTAGCATAAACACAACCATCTTTCTACCACATACTGTGTGTCAGGCAGCAGCAAGAGGGGGCTGCTCTGTAAGATGGGGTGAGCTGGGAGCCGAGGGTGACAGCGAGGCCAGTCGGGCAGTGCCCTCCCCAGCCCTGTCCCGCAGCACCCCAACCAGAACAGCGAAACAGGTCTGATGACAGTGACGACATTCAACCACGAGTCCAGATCACCAGACCAGTCTGTAGTGATGAGACAGGTTGAGTCTGAGGTCAGGCTCAGGATCAGTGGGGTTCACGGCCAGGCACAGGCATGCTGTCCACACAGCTCCAGTGAGGAGCAGGGTCAACATCTGGGGCTGAAACACAGCTCCTAAAACAAGAGGATGAGGCTCCAATGAGGTGCCTCACAGCTCTGTTCCACCCAGCTCTTCTCACAGCCATCTGACCCAAGGTTATGGCAGAAGTGGCCTTGAGTGTAGGCAGCCACATTGCTGGGGAAATGTGGTTGCTGAGCCTCTGCAGGGCCCTGACACTGTGATCCAGAAATAAGTTTGCTAGGACAGTGGTAGGTTAACTCAGGGGACATGACACCAGCCCTAGTAGTCGAAGCACTTTAGATGTAAAAGCTGTGAGCTTTCTCATGCTGAAAGAGGCTAAAATCCAGATTTCCCTTTTCCTGGGTGAGGGCTCTAGGTGCATGGTATGAAGGTGGCCACCATGAGCTCTTTGGTTGTGTTTTAGAAGAAAACCTCTGGCACTTCTCTGCAAGCAGAGGTATTGGTGCCTGCCTTCACCTGAGGATCCAGAGCCCGGCTCTGGAGCAGACGGGGACTCCTGCCTTGCAGGCTTGGGTTACTGAAGAACAACATTTGGGGTGGAGGTGGAGAAAAGGGGGAATTCAGATATACCACAGTCTTTCCTATTTGTTAATTTAGACATATTTTAAATTGGCTTCTGTCTCTCTCTCAGACTTAAATCTGGAGTCTTTTATCAGTGCAAGTGCCTAGAATTGGACGTTGATATCCCGTACGTCTTTTGCGGGAGCTGAGCTTCACCATAGTGTACAGTGCTTTCTATTCGGGGGGGTTCTAGTCCTCATTACAGACAAGATGCAGGACCTGGACTTTAATTTACTCTCCATCAGACTTTTTCTACAGTATTTTAACACTGGAAAGACTAATTTATTTCACAGATGTATACTGATAATTATTCTTTTCCTCCTCTGTTCAGCTAATTCATGCGGCTTAACTATCCCTCAGCGATGCTGAAGGCATCTGCAGGAGGGAGGGGGAGCTGCTCTTCAGGTTCTTCACTACCTCCCCTACTGGAACGGGCTGCTGCTCCATCACCAACTGACCTTTGCCTTAAAGACTGATGCACTTCGCAAAGGTGCAACAGGGCTGGTCCTCTGTAATTTGATTTTTGTTTGCCATGGAAAAGCTGGTTTGTTTGCTTTGCACTTAAGGCCCACAGTTTATTCAGGACTGTAAAACTTCAAAATCACATATAAGTAAATATGTGAAAAACAAACAATGCTGAAAATTAGTCTGGTAAAAAGTGAGGAACTACTATTGCTTAATAATATATACTTACAAGACTTCATTCTGCAGCAGAAAAATATTTTTTCCACCCTCCAAATATCTTCTGTGAGACCATAAAATCCTTAACTTTTTAAAAAACAAGTTAAATGTTTGTGTTTAAAAGAGTACTGCGCCTGACTTTCTACTTCAGGCTTGTTGTGAATGACATCAGAGGATAATGAGGTCAGTGTTTAAACTGAAAGTCCCAGTTTAATTTTTATTATTGTAAACTGCTTAAAACTGGATATGTTGAATTATAAAACTATGATAGGTAGATGGCACAACATTAAAGAAATTAATTCCTTAGTTTAGAGCTTCCTGTCCTGATCCTCCTGAGCCAGTCCTGAAGTCCTTACTCATTTCCTCACTCCTGATTCATCAAAGCATTTAAACACTCTAGATTTCAGTGGGATTTAAGCATATGCTTGTTGATTCAACACTTTAATCAGAGAAAATCCTCACTGAAGTCAGTAGAAGTTTTTGCCCCAAAAGACCTAAAGTTTCACTTTTTTTTTTTTTAATCCTGTATTTGAGTCCACACAACTTAAAATTGGGAATTTATGTGTTTGGTAATTGTTGCTACACATCACTCCCTGCCCAAACCAGTTCTTTCACTTTGGCTATTTAATCTCTGGCTAGCAATATTAGTGGCAAGAGGCATTTAACAGATGGGGTAGTGCTGGGGTGGGCGGAGACGTGTTGAGAATAAGGTTATAATAATTTGTTTCAGGTGCCTCCTCTTTAGATCATAATTAAATACTAAGAAGAAAGGCACATTTTTTCTTTATCCCCTCTTGAACTGCCTCTACCATTTAAACATCTTGAAGTATGGCGTAGCTTTATTTTCTATCATTGTTTAGGTGTAAGTAAAGTTTTTTGGAAAAAAAAATGGAAGCGTGGGGGAAAACTCTTGGAGAGTACAGAATGGTGAAGATACAGGGGAATGGCTCCTTAAATGTCACATAGCTGCTACACAATAATTTGGTCTGCTGAACTGCAGCCTGCTGGTGTAAGCACTCTTCTACAAAATTTAGTAAGCATGTAGTGACCAATTAATTCTACTGAAACTATGTTAAAACAGGGTTTCTTAACAGGCTTATGATATCTGTTTCTTCTGGATTCCTTTGGTACGAGCCTGTTTGACTAACATGTCTTACAAGTTAAATCTGTAGGACATCTTTTAGAGGCCGATGAGACAAGGGAGTGCACGTCAGCAGTTTCAGCTTTGCTCCCCACCGTCGTGGCATGCTGCACCTTTCTCTTCTGCTTTCTAATCAAATCAAATGTGATTCAGCTTAATTTTTATTATTTTTTTAATTAGAACAAAAACACTGCTAAACTTCTTAGAAACGGGGCTGCTGTTTAGCCTAAACAGATTAATGGGAAAATTACATTTTTGGAGATTTGCAGCAAAGCAAGAGCTGGTTTTGGAGGGGGGTGGATTGCTACAGGATATAGCGTGAGATGTGCAGCAGCCTTAAACTCTTACTGCTTTCCCTGCAAAGGGCAGGAAATTCCCCAAATTTTGCAAGGTGTCTCTTGCTTTACTGGACTTTTAAAAATAACTTCCTTAAGTAAAAATGTACTTTCCTTAAATTGTCCACTGGGAAGAGCTTGAAAGCATGGCCTTGCTATTCCCAAATGGCTCAACACCCTGGGAAGCAAGAAGCAGCCCCGATTCATTAGAGCTTAATAGTTCATAACTTTGCACTTTTCATAATTCGTTTTGGCATTATGTTATTGGGGGTGGTGTTGATTAAATCAGCAATGGCAGTCCCTGCCTTTGTGTGCCTGTCTGCTAGGCTCTCCTTTGGCAAGCCTGAGTTTTCCCGGTGCATAGACAGGAGCAGAGGGGAGGGGGGAGAAGGCTGATGTTTAATTAGGGGATTTTATAGGTAAAAATCAAAGAAATCCTGTCAGAAGTGGGGCACCCATGCCTTTGCGGCCCTCACGGGGGAGGGGTGAGCGGCGGCCCCGTCGGGCGACGGAACGCTTGTGAGCGGGGTCGAGCCCCGCGGCGGGAGCGCGCCAGC